ACAACAACAGACATGCCTCTTAATCCCATTCCAACCCTGATCCATTTCTAAAGCATGTGACAATCAACGTCTGTTGTCTTACAAGTGGTAAAAGGAGAGAAAAGTGAACAGAGAGAGGGACTCTTAATACTATCAAGAAAGAACCCGGAGTGGAGTGTGTTCTGGGACATAAGGCCCTAGGTTCAGAGCAAGACTGACACAAAGGCACAAAGAGATCTCCAAGGAATGCTGAGAATACAGATGCTGAAAGGATTGTTGTTGAGCATTACCTTGAGCCTGCAAGGAAGCCCTGGCTAGGGGAAATGCGGAAGGCCACGAACCTGTCCCTGCCTCCTGTTCAGCACTGTCTCTCCCTTATCTTCTTCCATTTCAGGTCCCAGATGTGACACATGGAGAAGTAATCCAGTCTAGACAGCTGGACTCCTAGGGTGACATCTGGTACATCCTTGCTATCACGCCGTTTTCAGCTGGTCTGACTGACTGTGTATAGCATTCATCTGCTTCCAGACTGCCCAGTGGCTCTGTCTTCACACCCACTCACCTTCCTGAAGTGGCTTCTTGGCTCATTTACTTAACTTAAGAAGCATAGCCAGGAAATGGTGAGTACCGCAGAGAAGCGGGTAATAATTAGTATCAGGGGAGGGGACTAAGTATGATTTGGTGAGGGACCAGCCATGTACTCCTGCTCTGTATTTCTTTTGTGAGGTTAAATATGGCAGATGAGGCCAAGGTCTAAATCCTAAGAGGCATCCTGCTCCACTGTTAATGGGTCCTGACTCTAAACACGTGGTTTTTCAAGCCTTCCATATGTGACTCTCAGATCTGGCTCCATGAGGTATTAACATCCCCACCCTGGACCTTGCTGATCTGTGTTGAATGACGTCATCTCCTGACCAGAGTTTGCGTTACATGTTTATAATTAATGCGGTCCACTTAAAATTATACTGTTCCTATGTGTTAGTAGTATGTTGTTGTTAAGTGCTGTCTAGTCGGGTCTGACCCATAGCGACCCTGTCTAGCGTTTCTGAGAAACAACTGGTGATGTTGAGCCACCCACTTTGCAGTCCAGTGCATAAAACATTTGATTTTATCTTTATTTCCTTTTGTCTCTAATGCTCTTCCATTCTGTATCACATTCGAGCATCTGTCCCTGTATCATTTTCCTTCTATGAAGACTTTGCTTTAACACTTCTTGCCTGACAGGTATGTTGTGGTTAAGTTGTTACTGCTGAGTTGATTCCAACTGATAGCAACCTTGTATAGGGCTTCCAAGGAGCAGCTTGTGGGTTTGAACCCTTGGCCTTTCAGTTAGCAATCCAGTGCTTATCCTATAGTGCCACACCACGACTCTAGACAGGCATACTGACAACAAGCGCCCTCAAAATTTGTTTGTCTGAGGATGCCTATTCTTCTTCACATTTAAAGGTCAGCTTTGTTAGATGCAAAATTCCTGGTTGGTGATTTTCTTCTTTCAGTTCTTTAATATTTCATTCCACTGTCTTCTTGCTTACACGGCTTCTAAGGACAAGTCAGCTATACTTAATCTTCTTCCTCTATAGATAAAATGTGTGTGTGTGTTTTGTGGGTGTACGTGATTATTTGATTTTCTGCTGTTTAAATATAAAAAGTATTGGTGCTATCGGATCAGCACTGGACTTGGAGCCACAAGGTTGGCAGTTCAAAACCGTCATCTGCTCCTTTGAAACCTTATACCGGGTCTCTGAGTTGGAACCTATTTGACAACACTTAGCAACAACAAATACAATATGCCTAGGAGTGAATTTTAATATTAGGCTTATTCTCGGAACTTCTGATTCTGGTTTGAGGGTCCGTTATTACTTGTGTAATAGTTGTAGGCATTATAGAGTTTCCATCTCTGCTCATGTTACCCAAAGCTTCTTACATTTGGCCTATATTATCAGTTGGAGACCTTTTCATCTGAGGCATGTTTTGTTACTGTTGTTGTCAAGTTGGTTTTGACTCTTAGAGAGCCTGTAAAGGGTTTGCGAGGAGTGTCCGCATGGGTTTGACTTGTTGGTCTTGTGGTTAGCAATCCAGTGTTTATCCTACCGTGCTACATTAGGACTCCATTTGAGACATTGTTGTTATTGTTAAGTGCCTTTGAGTTGTTTCCCTGTATAGGGTTTCTGAGGAGCGGCTGGTGAGTTTGAACCTGCCGGGGTCTGACCCCGACATAGTTGTCACGAGGTTTTGGTTCACGAGGAGGGGAGATCCAGCGGCGATAGGGATAGCGAAAGAATACACAGAGAAACAGAAGAAGGGAGACAATGAGGCACCCCAAAGCCAGGGTGGATACATCACTGGTGGGCAGGCTTGGGACTACAGGCATCATGGCCTCTG